GACAACAAGACCGATGTTTCTCCTCTTCCTTACCAATATACTAATGAGCGCCTGATGCAGATAACTTTGTATTACGCTGATATCGATCTAAGATCGACGATTTCCCTTTTAGTTCGGGTGTTTTTACATTGCAGTGACCTGACGCGGATTAACGCTCCTTTACTACAATATGAAATAATGAGTTTGAGAAATTTACTGAAGTCGAAATTTCCAGCTAACCCTAATATTGTTTTCTTTTACTTATCTAGGCGTGTAAATTTCATGTCCAATTTGCTTTATTTAAAAAAAATGATTTTTTTCTACCTTAAGTCTGAAAGCGTCTGAAGAGGGCCATTTAAACATAGTCCTGATGAACGAAAATTTTCCGTCTTTTTGGCTGATGATATCCTGCTTTGTCGAAGGTCATTTCGCCTGTCAGTGTTTATGTACTACGTTGAGTCTATTTTAACCAGAAGATTAAGTGTTCTGATATTGATAGTCCGAAATAGATATCTTATGAAAGTTTATTTAGTAAACTCAGAAATTTCATATCGCTTTAAGACTATCTCTGCCTGTAGGTCTTTAATTTTATATCCGGAAGACCTGTCCACTTTTGGCTGCTTAGTTTTGGACCACAGCAGTCAATACCAAAACAACATACGCGTCTGGTCTCAGCTATTAATTTTTCTCCTCAGCTCCTGACAAAATCACACCCTTGGTGGCTTGTAGCATAGAACTTTTGTCACCAAATTCAAGATATATCTGCTGGGTTGTATTTTATTGATGTTTGTTGTTGTTTTCACCAATTTAATAGCTGTAATCTCCTCATACTTTCGGTAGTCATTGTGCCACCTTTTAATTCAAACAGAAACCAAATTTAAGGCTTTATGTGATGCATACAAAGTACTTACAGTTTTGCTGTAGCTCGGGGAATTTTCTTTGGAATTGACTTAAGCTGTTTTCCTTCACAACTGGCCGATACGAAGCCCTTCATGTTACCTTTAAAGACTTTGCATTGACATGGTTGAGGGCACTCTGACAAACAAAAACAGGCTTCTATTACAATTACTATTTGAATCATCTCAGTTTTTAATTGTTCATTTTTACTCAAATATTTTATCAATCGAAAGCTGTTGAATCAAATCGATGATGGTACGTTGCAAAATAAACCTCTGTTTAGCGGTATTCCTTAACATCATCTGAAACTAAAATGTCACCCATTGAAATGAAAGACATAATTTTACAAATTATGTTCCGCCTTAAGTGTATAAAATGCTCTTTTTACCATGACAGGCATAATTCTTATTCCCCATTCATTAAATTTGATCTAAAATACAAAATTATTGAGATTTGTTAGGAATTGGGGGTATTCCTCATTATTTTCCGATTGATCTGCCCAAAGATAAGAATGACTTATAGTAAGTAAACTTTGCTGTAAAAGTTTAATCTAGCGAATATTACAATTCTCAATTTCCTCCTGTAATATGTACGTCGATCGCACGACATTCAGTTGGCCACCCTGAGGGTAA